TAAATCCTGCAACAGCTTGACATTTCTGCAATGGCATGAATACACTTTCATCTAAACCAATTGTATTGTAGCTCTGTTTTTTAAGGTTGGCTGCGAGCTGCTTCCCGTTGTCCTACAACTGTCATGATGCCGTCACCATTTAAATTTCACTTTAGAGAGAGGGTTTTCAGGCTATCATTCTGTGTAACTGATTTTCCCAGCTTTTTCCCCATATTCGGATCATTACAGCTCCTCCAGAACTGCAAGGACTCCGGATTTATTCTCTAATGAATGCTTTTCTTTTCCAGGCTGTGGCTGGAATTTACTCTGTATCTATTTATATGTCAATGTAAATAAATAAGTCAAATTTATTTAGACCAAACTAGCCAATTAAGTCCTTTAAGCCCCCTGTGTGTTCAAAACAGATATAGCTTGCTTTGTGGCCTTTGCCTATTATTAATTAACTTATAGTAACACAACTTTTAGGAAAACCTCTGTTCTGTTGTTTCTATGCATCACTGTGAAAGGCTTTGCTCACTGCCTTGACAAAACGAACAGTTTAACCCGCATTTCTGCCATACTACATACCATGATGAATGAAACAAAGCTTTGCAAAATGCTCAAATCTTAAGCTACTGCAACCTCGAGACAGGTTACTGTTTTATAACCTGTTTTATAACCTGTCTCAAACGTTTTTACCCTTTATACAAACTACTGTAGATGTGTTTCCACCTTTGGACCAAGTTAACCAGGCCATGTAAAATGTAATTTCATCATGTTACATTTGGCTGCAGGAAAAGGGGGTAATGAACTAACATGGACCACAGATCAGTGATGGAAAGAGCTTTTAATGAATTTCAACAATCAGACAAAAATGTTATTGTTTTTATCATGTCAGTGAGTATTTGTGAAGTTAATTGGCACATAGAGAGGTCAAGAGAGAACCTTGATTCTAATGGGGCGGCAGCAGCAGAAACAGCTGGTTAGTCATGTAAGGTAAAGATTTTAATTTGCAGAACATTTTCCACAAATGTGTTTCCATCTCCTCTTCTGTGCATTAACCTCTTTAAAAAGGATTCAAAACCACCTCAAGCGAGTGTAAAAACTATTTTGCTAAATGTTGTAAGGTGATTCTAATTTTTCTGTGTCCATCAAACTGTTCCAATGATTTCTTCAAAATCTGCGTAAAAACATTGATGGAAACACATCTACATCTATAAACTTTCACCTACTTACAAAGAGCTTTTAGGAACAATACCCAAGATTCACTTCTTACTGCCCTCACCTGATTCACACGAGGCATGTGACCGAAAGCACTCTGACAAGGGAGCTAACGACCCATAAGAACCCCCTAACAACCATTAACTTCCCCATTGTGACCTCCTTGGCCCATCCAGTGGGAGGGATAAAAGCCACCATTTGTCCCCCCAATTCTTTTTTTAGACCTACAGTATATTAACCTCAAGTCTCCCCACCATTAGTATGAACTGAAGAAGCTTCTTAGGCCCCGTCCAGACGAAGTCAAAACGAACATGAAACGCAAATATTTTCCAGAACGTTTGTCGTAAAGACGGAGACGTAAATAAATGTGATCGTCCACACGAATGCATAAAAACGCTGCAAAATGTATGCCAGGCCTGTAAGTGGCGCTGTGGTGCCAAAGCAAAAATAGGCGACGAAATGTTGGGCATGCGCACTAATATTTATACATGGTTGCCCTGCAGGTCCATTTTCGTGGTTCAGTCAAATTCAGGTGCTGAACTATGTCGTCGATATTGCTCTGTTCTTTCTGGAGATATTCCAGAAGAAGAAGATTCTGTTGTAAGCCCGACAGCAGGGTGAGTAGCATTAGCAGCAACCATTCAACACAGTACGGCGCCATTGTTGTTGTGATACTGTGTCGCGCTTGCGTGTTTAGAGGCGACGCTATGACGCATGCGTGTAAGAAAAAAAATGCGGTTAGAGCTTAAAGATGGAAACACGAAAACAGCGTTTCAAAATCTTCCCACTGAAGGCTTAATAATAAAAAAAAATAAAAAAAAGATCGTTTACAGACCCCGAAACGCCAGCTTCGTATGGATGGGAGGCTGGTTTGGTGAAAAATTTGTGCGTTTAGGCCAGGGTTCGGCTTCGTGTGGACGGGGCCTTAGATGAGAGGTGAAATGTCTTCTAGAAAACTTCATGTCCAGTTGTGTAGACTGAACTTTGTTAAGCTTAACCGTGACCTGGATGACTAAGAATCTTCACAAATAACACATCACTGAATGGATCAGCACCTCAATACATAACAGATTTGTTGTCTGTGTATCAACCTCCCAGACAACTCAGGTCTTCTAGTTCAATCCTAGTCTGTACATCCAGAACTAGAACCAAACAGAAGACTGTAAAAGTGCTAAAAATCTGGGTTATTTTAAATTAAAGCTAAAAACCCATTTTTTAGAGCTGCCTTGGACTGTTAAAATTTTAGCTGGACTTTGATGTTCCAACAGTTTTGTTTGTTTTACTATCTTCTTTTATTGTGTTTTTATATTAAATTGCTTTTCCCCACTTTTATTTTCCATTTGATTGTTTGATTAATGTAAATCACTTTGAATTGTCTCTACATTCGGTTGTGTAATGATAAATGTAATTTTTCTCGCCTTGCTTTGACTCTATTTATAAATTTTGTGACTTCTGAAGGCAATTTGGTGCACTCAATTAATCAAGAAACAGAAAAGTAATTCAAAAACATACAACCCTTTTTTTAAGATATAATGCTGTTAACAAACGTTTTTACACTTGAATTGTCAAAAAGAAGATAATTTTAATCAAAGTCATTTAATCAAAGTTTACAGAAGTGATTTATGTTGGAAAGAACATGAGAAACGTCCCAAATTGCCAGATTACATCTCTACCAAATATGCATACTGTGATTATTTTAATGAAATAATGACTAATTTTAAACACTAATATGCAGCTTTCTTGTTGTTTGTTTTGTTTTTGTTATAACATTGATTGCATTTGCAAAATAATTTGCACCAAAAAGGAGTCGATTTAAAAAAATAAAATAAACACATTGATCACAAATATCCTAATGGTTTGCAGGTATTGCTTTGTTGGAACCAGCTTCAATAAAACTAATCCCAAATGAAAGTCTGTTAAATATCACAAAAGAACACAGCAGACAAAATTCAATGTATTACCTCATTTCAATCCCATCTCATATAGGAATAAAAGATAATTTGAAAGACAAGCTCAGACAAACTGACCTCTCAGCTTATAATAAGGTTCCAACGTGTCAGGAGCTATATAGAACATAATCACAGGTTTATCAAATTCTTCTTCCAAACATGCAGATTTAAAGCAGAGACATCATGAAATTCTGTCATGCTTAACCTTTAAAACATTGAATGCCAATAAATTTCAATAAGATTTCAATATGCAAACTTATGATTTGCATAGAAAATTGCTGTTAAGAATTTAAGGTCAAAACATAATAACCCACCGGTATTACAAATTAAAAGCAACAATAGATTTCCCAAATTTGGTTTTACTCACAAACAAAGCAAGGTCTATCTTAACTCTTATAAAATTCATCAGATTATTTGAATTCCTCCTTTTGTTCAATCAAAATCATAATAAGAATATCTAAGCCAAAGGCCTTCCACTTTTTCAAACTCTGTCCTTCCCTCAGGATAGACTGCATTCCTTTTTTTTTTTTTAAAGAAGACCTGCTCCCCTACTCCAGACCATTTCAGATGTAATAAGTTGGAAAGAGCTCCATAAAGTGAAGTCTGATAAAAAGCCAATTGTCTGCTCTGAAACAGACAATTATATATTATGTGATCCTTTGCAGCGGCACAAAAGTGATCCATCATCTTGAGGTAAAGGGTAAATTCTGCAGCTGGCTTTCAATTCTACAAAACAGAGCAAGTACTGAAAATCAAAATAAGCTGTAGAGAAAAAAAATCAAAGACAAATTCTGTGAGTTTCCTTTTAGAATACACCGTCTTGCCTTGATAAAGGATTTAAACCAATTAAGGCACTAAAAAACCTTAAGAAAGTCTTTCCCACTGGGATTTTGTGCATCAGGCCAACACTATAGTGCATCATTGTTCAGTGGGGAGAAATAGGATATGTTACAGTCTAAATCTTTTGCAAATTAAGTGAAAAACATAAGTGTAAGTATCCAGTCCCCCCTTTCAAACATCAGCAAAACACTAAGCTTTTGTATCTTAACCTAAATAGCTGGTTTGAAAGTTTGCAGCGGTGGCATAGAGAATATTAGAGAACAATTATCTCCAACTCCTGTCCTCAAGGGGAGATGCCCTGTAGGTTTTAGGTGCCCTGTAGGTTTTATTTCTGTCCTTGCTGCAACAAAGCTGATTCAAATAGATAAATTACTCACCTGGAATGTCAGCTAGCTCTATAGCAGCTGGTTACAAAAACATTAATTTGATTCAGGTGTTTTGAATCAGGGCAACATATAAAACATGCAGGACAGCAGCCCTTGAGGACCTACTTTGGACACTACTAATCTAAACTGACAGGCCTTCTAGGGAGAGCAATAACCTGAGCAAAAAAAGCCACAAAAAAACCCATTGGAGCTTAAAATGATAGTCTGAAAAGTGTGGTGTGTGTTTGTTCTTCAAAACTAAACTTGCAAGACTACATATGAAAAGTTATGTCTGGTGAAAAACGAATTGATTTTATGCACACCACTAACATGAAGGTTGCAGCATAATGCTCTGAGGATAGATTTCCTTCAAAGACTTCGAATCAGCTCATCTGTGCAAGTGTTTATAAACTGATGATGCTGGACGGTATTAAGGCTGATCTATTTTGTAAAAATAAAAAGGAAAAAAAAAACAGCCTATTGGATTTGTTTTATAATGTGACTGAAAGCACAAATGTTTAATGGCTTTAACACTTTTTGTAAGGCACTGTGTTATCCCACAGGCTTTATAACCGAACCTAATGATTTTCATTTTTCTGAGAAAAGCATTCCAGCAACACAATCTGTTGACACTTCCCCAGCTTACCGTCGGGATGCTCATAAGGGAGCCAGTGGTGTTTGGTATTTTGGAATTCAAAGTTGGAGTTGCGAAGCTGGCATTGTTGGGCTCGGAAATCTTCAAAGTGCTTCGGGCACTCGTTTATGTTGCACAGCTGGTAATCGTAGTTGACTCCAGGACAGTCCTGGCCGCCGTTTGAGGGTCTGCAGAAGGGAGATGGAAGAACATCAGAGGCTCAGAAGGAAAACAAGTTCTTACTTGAAACCAAAGGAATACAAAATGCTGTGCACCACTTTGTTGTTTTTGCTGTTTTTCTATGTTCAGCTAGGACTTAAATGGCCACCAAGGAAGATATGCTAAAAACTGAATGTCATCATCTCTCTATTCTAAAGGTTAAAGTATCAGGATATATTAAAAAAATAGGTGCTGATAATCAAATGTACTATGTTGAGATCCTATGAAGGATGAAAACATCTTTCTGGCAGTTTGCTGCCAAAAATATAATATTAAAAAGGAAAGGCTTAGATTTGAGCAGAAAATAAATATTCTGTTATTGTCCCGCAACGGAGGAATTCAGGCGAACAAGCAGCAAAGTAAAAGGAAAACTAAGCATTCAAATACTGAGAAAGGAATAAATTATAAAACCAAACAGTAAGAATAGGAGACCGTACACTTTTAGAACATAAAACTCTTGTAATGCTGTTAAAAATGAGCAACTCAGGGGGATATAAAAATTTACAAACTGTCCTCATAAATGTGTATTCATGCATGAGGAAAAAAACTTTAGAAAAGTCACAGTTACTGTCAATCAATCTGGGAAGACTAAAAAGGCCATTTCCAAACTACTGGACGCCCATCATTTTTATTCACATGACAGTCAAGACAGCTGCAGAACTTATGAAGATTTGACATCTGGGTAAATCCATCCCAGCACACAGAGCAATGAAAAAATAAAACAGTTGCTCAACAGGTCAAAAAGGACGGTACATGTAGAACTTCATACCAGCATGGTTAGTAGAAGACTTAACAAGCGTTGGTCTAAAGAGTTTAAGGAAAAACGTTGATTTTTTCTAAGAAAGCATGGCAGGATGACTCAGGTTTGCAAAGCTGTATCTGGACCACAAATTGTATCAAATCACCTTAATGTACTGTATAGGAGCCATATGAAGCAACATTTCTCCAAAAACTCATTAAAAGCAAATATAACAGATTACCTGTTTTCAAAAAACAAGAACCCCTTCAGTTTCTCTTATAATTATTTTGTAACAACTTAGTTTAAATGCAGAAAAGTCATATTAGCTGAAATATCTTTGCACTTTAGGATTAAAATGTATAAATGGAACATTTGTGATTTCTTAATAACAAAATGCCGACATTAGTCACGCAGGACTTAATCTTCACTGAAAGCATTATGTAAATTGGTGCATAAAAAGACAATTTACCACAACTGTCTCATCGGCTTTAGTTCCATTACCAAGACAGAATGAGTCCAAATGGGATGCAGCTTTAATTAAGAAGCCTGAAACTCGTGCAAAAGTTGTTTATTCCCCATTAATGTGTTCAGGTTTTGTCTTGCTCACTTCAACTCCTTATTTATTTCATTATCTAATCAACATTGATTAAGCTTAACATACCGGTAAGGAGCTCATATGTATTGGAGCATTAGAATAAATCACCTTACGAAATTAATCCTAAAGTATTTGTTACAGAAGCACATTTTTAATTAGGTTAAATAAAAGTGCTGTGATCGCATTTCCTTTTAAACCACCTCAAGTTACAGAACAAGATTTTTACAAAGACATCAATAAATGAAATTCATAAAACAGAAAATGTAGAACTCCTTTTACATTGAATAACACTGAAAATATATACATTCAGCTTATTTTCTTTAGTTCACCAACATGCTTTGTGAGTAATCTCCTAAAAAAATGGCTAAAATACCATGTAATCCACTTCATTGCTGCTCCTGTTACTGTACTTACGCAGGGTTGTTACACTGACGTGTTCGAAAGCGAACCCCAGTTCCACAGGACCGTGAGCAGGAGCCATATTTACTCCAGGAACCCCAGGCACCATCCTGCTTCAGCTGATTTGGGTTTTTCCACATGCAGTGACCTTTATAGCACCACTAAACATGATGACAGAGAGGAGAGAGAGAAAACATACAACTAAATAAAATAAGAATACATATTTATTTCACTAGAGGTAAATTGAATAGTCTTTAACATCTTCACCACACCCCTAGGGACGAGGGTGAAATGCGGGAAATATAAAACAGAACTAAATTGAAACAGGCATTTATTTTGGGTTTAAAAACACATCAATTTTAAAACATAATTTCTTCTTAAACTTTCAGTAAAACAAGGGTTCATTATTTTTGTCATTTAGTGCTGCTCTTTCTCTCAGACACTGCATGGAACATTCAAAACCTTCAGAACATTTTCTTTGTTCGTAAGTCTTTAAGTGTGCGCAGCGACTTGTGGTTTAAAAGAGTTTGAGACTTTATTAGTTTGTTTACTTTCCAAAACCCTATTAATGCAATGCATCAATAGCTACTAACTAGCTCAAACTTAGCTCTGATTCACACTGTGAACAAAATGCTCTAGAGCCCACTTTGAACTCTAACTAAGCAGGGAAACAAACCAGAGATATTTTTTAAAGGACCCAATATCTCAGATGGAAAAACACCCAAAGGTGTGCTGTGTATCCTTCTTCCAGCCCAGTGCCTGCTGGATACTAGAAGTAACCCCCTGCTATTATGAACAGGTAAGGCAGCTGCAGAAAATGAATCTATTAAAAATCTGGTCAGAACTGTTCTCCTCTGTGATGAATTAGAGGGAGGCTGGGCTAACCACAGAGGGCTTTTAAATCCCAGACTAAAGTACGGTAATAATTGAGCATTTCTTCTCACTAATATATTTGCCTTAAACAATTATTCACATCTTAAAAAAAACACAACTTGTAAAAAGACATGGTGCAGGTCCATTGCAACTATTTGGGCATAAATACTCTAGAAATAGTTTCTCAGCTTTCTCTGGAAGATTGTCATCCTTAAAAACCTGCCTACCTTCTGTTATTTATAAATAAAAATGGGCTGCACGTCAGAGATGAAAAACAGAACCAAAAGCTACCAACTGCCTTTGTGGCCTAAAATTCATTCTGACTAATTGGTCCAAGTAGACTACTGCACAGCACAAAAAACAAGAATAAATAAAAAATCATCCAGATCTGTGCTGTAGCTCCCTTCCACTCTAATGGCAAGGAGGGAAAAAAACTGTAAAGTGAATCCAAATGATTTTGCAGAACGGCCCATTAGGAATGCCTGTTGTTAATTATTACATAGTAAATGGACTTTACTTATATAGTAATTTTAAAGTCAAGAGACTTGACCAAATCGCTTTACACTGACTCCAGTCATTCACGTACACGCTGATGATGGTAAACTACATTGCCGTACAAAGGCGCCACCCGGCCCACTGACCACCCTCAGTAGGTAACTCCTGCATCCCACACCACTGTCACACCATTACTAGCAACACTGCTAAACCTAAGTGGTTCTGGTAGTCTTTTACAGACTTTAGAGATTTATATGCATTAACCTGATTCAGGGCACTCAAGTAATCTTACTTTTCCTGGAGCGCATTCGGTCCCATCGAGAGGTGGCCCTTTTTTGGTTTTGCAGAAATAAGGGTTGTCAGGGTGACTGCACCAAAGCTGTTTACATGGATCAAATGTCCGGAACTGAAACAGAGCAAACAAAGAAATAAAATCATTATAATGCCTGAAAATGTTAGCTTTAAATCTGTTACAGTAATTTTTAGCAAATAAAAAAAACAAATCTTAACAAAATTGCAGAAATGTAAAATGAAATAAAGGATCCCAGACTTCTGGCTTAAACAGATGAACTATTCATGGGTAATTTAATACAACTTTGTTAAAGGAATTGATATAAACTGTTAGAAGATTCCTCATGATTTTGTTGAAAGTGTCTTATTGCATTCAGTCAGAGCCCTACTAAAAAAATATTGCCAAGCTATGAAGCATACCTTTAACTCTATTGATGCACATTGTGCTACTGATTTCATTATGTATTTGCATTATATTTTAAAATATAAAATTAGAATATTACCATAATTTTTGATACAACATGCAAATAAATTACTTTAAAGTTGATTCATGTATCCAAATACTGTATTATTGTTATAAATATTCTATTATGTTAGTGTTCTTCTTTCCGGTATATACAAAACACAAACAATATTGTGGATTTATTTTCATAAAAAATTGTTTCAGTCGTTTAGGAGATAAAAAGAAGTTGATTGGTATTAAAATATTAATATAAAATTAACAACAGAGTTTAGAAGCAGATGATTTGGGAGGTAAGATGGTGGTGCATAAACCATCAAATGCTTTTAAAAACACATTTTCTTACCTAACACTGCAAGCAGAGATGTTATTCCTTCAGTTTCTATTAAGTACTTTCTACAAGTTATGTGAATAGGCAAAACACATTTAAACCTTAACCTCCCATTTCTATGAAGATATTGTACACATTCCACTTAGGAGGACTTGGATTTTTTACTTTTTGTTAAAGCCAGTTTATTTGAAATGCTTCAAAACAAAACTTATATTCTTTACCACCATACAAATCAAAAGAGGAGCACTGACTGAGAAGGTCATAAAAAAGTGATCCATTGTTAAATATATGGATTATATATTGAGGACAACTTTTAAGGACAACATTTAACACACTGAAAACATTTTAAGAATATAAACAAGTCTGGCTTGTTTTCTCCAAAGTCTGTTGGAATGCAGATAAACCTTTACTCTGCTTCCCTGAGAAAACCCTTAACCCCTGAATGTTCCCCATGTACTAGCCTACGCCTCCCTATGGAATGGGTTAAATGCAGAGAACAAATTTCTACAGCTTGAATCCATAAAAACTGATTTTCTTTCCTTTTCTTTTAGTGTAGAATATCATATGGTAAAAACGTTTAATCTATTATTGAATATAAATGCTTGAGCTTATTGTCTCTTATGCTTAACAGTTTGAACCAGGAGCACTGTGACGCCTCAGTGACGTGTGTATTTCTCTAGAAAGCTATTTCTATTACACAAAAAAATGCAGGTTCTTGTCCTGATTATAAGACCCGATCAAAGGAAGAGAGGTTACAGGTTTTCAGCACCAAAATAAAGATTATCTGCTGCAAAGTGAACATCATCTTTCACTCTGAATGAGTTTGCGTCAAGTATTTTAATACCAACAACTCTTAAAGGTAATTCTTTATATAACTCTCTGTTTCATTCGTCAAGGTTTAATGACTCCTTCTCCATGTTTACTGAGAAACATATTGATCTAAATGGAACAAACAAGGTAAATACTGTAAGGGCTAGAAAACAGGTTAAAAAAATATAATCAATACTAAAGTGAACAGAGAGCTTCTTTATGTTGGGAGCTGGAGAAATCCCATCTTTCTCCAGCAGAGTCCGCCGTGGATCCTCTGAGGGAGCCTCCTGCACAGCTGCAGCTCGTCAAAGATCATCAGAGGATCCACTATATAAGCTGTCTTCAGACCTTGCTTCAACGCCGCAGTGTTGTTCCAGTTGGTCAGCGCTAAAGCCTAGATCCTCAGTGTATCTCCATGACTTTGAATCCAGTCTGGATTCTAACTACTGTCTGTTTTCCAGGAAACCCGTGCCTCCTCTGTGAGATCTCTGGAAGAGCTAACCTGCCGAGCCGACCCTCTGAGCCAAACCCTGAAGATTCACAGAGAACCCCCAAGCAGCTCAGGACTAGAGCTGGGAAATCTAAGCCAAGGTCTGTTCAAGCTAAGACGTGAGACGCTGAAGCAGCAAACGGACTCTGCTGACAAACCCTTCTCCAGAACCAACAGTGACTCTCCCAAGGTTAACCTGAAGAACCCTCAAGGTACAATCAGTGAACCAGTGGAAATCAAACCCTGTCAGCAGTCACTAACTGTGCTGTCTCTCACGCAGACTCCGGTGAATCAGTTCCCAGGCCCGAACCAGAATCGGTACATTCTGTGTGTTTTGTGCTTTAATAAACTGTTCAACTTTTCATCCTTGTGTCCGTCAGTGGTGTTCTGCATAACTGGGTCTCCTTCAGTGAACCCATCATGACAGAACACTGCGGCCAAACTCAAGGCCCAGCAGATCACCATCTCCGTCGACTAGAGGAACAGGCAGCCCAAATTCATGGACACGGTCTGGCTCTACGTGAGTTAAACACCCACATAGAAAGACAGAATCAAGCCATTCAAGGCTATGTTAACTACGTGAACAGCGCTAATGCTGCGTCTGTACAGCAACCATTTCCGGGTCCAGTCCCTCATCCGAGGTCACCAGCAGTGACGTCATCAGAGTTCCGTCCTAGTCTTCCAGAGAAATTCTCTGGTAACATGAAGGATTGCAAAGGATTTTTATTTCAGTGTCGGTTGATTTTTCAGAACTCCCCTGGTTGTTTTTCCACGGATCACAAGATGATAACTTTCATTCTCTCTCAGTTAACAGGAAGAGCTTTGGAATGGGCTCAGGCAAGATTGACGACAGTTTAAATTGCTATTACTCCGATTTCATTGCTGAATTTACCCAGGTCTTCAACCAAGAAACTGACCAAACAATTGATTCTAGAGCTCTTTTCAACCTTAAACAGGGAAATTCTTCGGTGGCTGAATTTTCAATTAACTTCCGGGTTAAGGCGGCAGCTTCCGGATGGAACCAAAGCGCCTTGAAAGGAGCCTTTTTCATGGCATTAAACGAGCAGATTAAGGATGAACTCGCAACCCTCGATGAACCTGCCATCCTCGAAGATTTAATTCGCCTCTCCATCAGATTAGATAATAGAATTCGAGCCAGAAACAGCTCTAAGAAACAGAGTACATTTTCTTCTGCTTCACTTAACATGACTGTTTGTTCTCCCTCTACAGAGCAGTTGCCCACTCAGAGGACTAAGCCCCAGTCTCTACCGTTGCCTGTTCAGGCCTCTCATTCGGGCGAAAGGGATTTCGAACCCATGCAGGTGGGACACACCAGGCTCACTCCAGAGGAGAGACAGAGGCGTTTTATAAGTAAACTATGTATCTACTGTGGTGAGAGTGGACACTTCATCGCCTCCTGCCCGGCTAAATCAAAAGCCGGGGCCCGCCAGAGGATCTGAGGAGTCTGGCGGGCCAAATAAACACAAAGAAATCTCCTCGACTGTTACTTCCTGCCACGCTTTTCTGTGATAATCAAAGCCTCTCTTTCTCTGCTTTCGTCGACTCAGGCTGTGAACGTAACCTAATCGACTCTAACCTCGTCCAGCAACTCCAGATTAAAACCATTCCTCTCTCTCAGCCTCTCTGTGTATCCGCTATTGACGGGAAAAGACTCCATCGAGTTACCCACCAAACCCAGCCCCTCGAGCTACTTCTGTCAGGTAACCATCGAGAGACAATAAAATTTTTTGTTTTTCCCTCTGCATGTTCCCCGCTGGTTCTCGGGTTCGAATGGTTGGAGAAGCATAACCCTCACATTAACTGGACTAAACGTCATCTGGAATCATGGTCCACTACGTGCCACGAAACATGCCTTCGTTCTGCTGCCCCCGTGGTGGGGTCTCCTAGAGGTGGGGGGGAGATGGACTCCCCTGACCTTTCTTCAGTTCCCTCTGAGTACCATGACTTAGCCCCTGTCTTCAGTAAGGTCAGTGCGACGTCCCTACCTCCACACAGACCATACGATTGCGCCATTGAACTTTTACCTGGTGCTCCTCTTCCTAGCAGCAGATTGTATAACATTTCCAAGCCCGAAAGAGAAACAATGGAAAGATACATCAACGAATCATTAGCTGCTGGAATAATTCGTCCTTCATCCTCTCCTTTGGGCGCCGGTTTCTTCTTCGTGGGAAAGAAGGATGGTTCCCTGAGACCCTGTATAGACTATCGAGGTTTGAACCAGATCACAATTAAAAACAAATACCCACTGCCTCTTCTCGCCTCTGCTTTTGAACCTGTGCAGGGTGCAACAGTGTTTTCCAAACTGGATTTAAGAAACGCTTATCACCTCCTTAGGATTCGTGAGGGCGATGAATGGAAAACTGCCTTCAAAACACCTTTGGGCCAATTTGAATACCTAGTAATGCCCTTTGGTCTAACCAACGCTCCAGCCTGCTTCCAGGCCCTAGTAAATGATGTCCTCAGAGACTTTCTCAACGTGTTTGTTTTCGTGTACATTGATGACATTTTCATTTACTCCAAGGACCTCGATGAACACAAGAAACATGCCCGTCTTGTTTTACAGAGACTACTGGAGAATAAGCTGTTCGTGAAAGCTGAGAAGTGCGAATTTCATCAACCTTCAGTCACCTTTTTGGGGTTTGTGCTCGAGGGCGGCCAGGTAAAACCTTCAGAGGAGAAGATCAAAGCAGTCTTAGACTGGCCAGTTCCAGAGAACCGAAAACAACTTCAGAGATTTTTAGGGTTCGCTAACTTCTATCGTCGGTTTATTAGAAACTACAGCCAGACCGCTCTTCCATTAACCTCCCTGACTTCTGTTAAACGCACTTTTCAGTGGACTCCCGAGGCTCAAGCAGCATTTGAGAAATTAAAATCCTTGTTTTCCAGAGCACCTGTCCTCATTCAACCTGATCCTGCGAATTAGTTTATCCTAGAGGTGGATGCTTCAGATTCTGGTGTTGGAGCTGTCCTATCCCAGAGGCTCGACTCAGACCAGAAAATACA